GTGGAGGGGTTTTCATCTATTGCAGCCCCGATGACCAGGTTGACCCAGAAGGGTGCCCAGTTTAGATGGTCGGATGAGTGCGAGGCGAGCTTCTAGAAGCTCAAGACAGCCTTGACTATGGCACCAGTGTTGGCTTTGCCCACAGGTTCAGGCCCATATACAGTTTATTGTGATGCATCTCGTGTTGGGCTTGGTACGGTGTTGATGCAGAATGGCAAGGTCATTCCTTATGCTTCGCGCCAGTTGAAGATTCATGAAAAGAACTATCCAATCCATGATTGGAGTTAGCAGCCATTGTTCATGCGCTGAAGATTTGGAGGCATTATCTGTATGGCGTGGCATGTGAGGTGTTCACGGACCACAAGAGTTTGCAATACATGTTCAAGCAGAAGGATCTAAATTTGAGGCAGAGGAGGTGGTTGGAGCTGTTAAAAGACTATGATGTCACTATCTTATATCATCCGGGTCGTGAGAGAAAATTTCCAATTTGAATAATTTTTAGCTCAACACAAATAAAATTAAGGACAAAGATGCTCAATTTGCACTTCGTAATGCATTAATAGAGCATTTATGAGAGCAAATACAAATCCTGGAAGTTCAATATTATGCAGAAATTAAATTAAATTTTATCATAATATATAATTTATTTACTATATGATTTCACTTTTATTTGAATTATCCATTAATATGTATAATGTATAAAATACGCTTACAATTTATATTATTTAAAAATTTATGATATAAAATAATTTTATGTTAAATAATTATATAAAAAGAAATATGAATTATATGGGATGAATATGTAAAAAAAAATTGAATGGTGAATTAAAAAAAATTAAATAAAAGTAATAATATAATATAGAATAGAAAAAAATACAAAAGAAATATTCTTTTTTGGATTAGAAAATAATGTAATGGGTTGGAGTAAATTTGCACCAGTTTGGTGTTTACATCATTTTGAGTAAAAAAATGGTGCAAGGTTGGAGATGACCTAAATAGTGAAGTAAAATTATAATCACTAAGCTATACGTAATTCCATTTTTTTTAAATAACTTATTTTAAAGAAAAAATCAGAAATAGCGTGATTTACAACGGGTAATTGAAAAATAGCCACAATTTCAAAAGTAATCGAAATTTAGTCACTTTTTCTTGTAAAGATAAAATCTGAATAAACAAAACCCTTAAAAATCCGGAAAAATTCCAGCATAATATGCTGGTGTTCGAATTTTTAATATATGAGATTTCATCATAATGTACTGGAATTTTATTATGTGCTGGAGCTCCAATATAATATGGTGAAAGTTTATATGCAAAAGCTTGATAATCCAGCATATTATGTTGAAATTTTTTGTGTTTTAGCTAAAATAGTAGCTATTTTCAATGACTTTATAAACGCTGGATATTTTTCGATTATTAAATTCCAATACGCTCCAACACCCCAATTACTTTAGCACCATTTTAAAATACATTTTTTAAATAATATTATATTTTCTAGACTTAGAAACTGGCTATATATATATATATATATATATATATATATATGTGTGTGTGTGTGTGTATGTGTGTGTGTGTGTTTTTTTCCACTCTTTTGCTTTAATGGCTACGTGATTAAACATTCTGATTAAATTCTTAAGCACGACAAATAGTGGCCAAAAAATCTACACCGTTCTCAAAATAATAGTCTCTCTCTCTCTCTCTCTCTCTATATATATATATATATATATATATATATTGCATATTTAGTTAGTAGCTGCATATTGTAGTCATTATTTTTGGGGTGATTGGTCAAATGTTTTAAAAACTCGACAAATAAAGTAGGACAGAGGTACAGAAAAAAGGGGCATTTCCATCTATATCCGTTTTTTGGGTCACGTTTTAACTTGTACCCGCTTTGCAAATGCAAGCCTACCCACTTTTTCGCGTAACTTCAGCATACGGGCCTGAAGTAGCAAAGGCAATCACGCAAACATTCAGCATTCTAGTAGACGGGCCTGAAGTAGCAAAAATTGCTGAACCAAGTGTGCTGAAGTTTTTGTTTGTAATTGCTGAACTTAAGCATTCTAGTGCTGAAGTTTTGTTCTCTATTTGCTGAAGTTTTTATTTGTAATTGCTGAACTTAAGCATTCTAGTAGCTAGAGTTTTGTGATGCTGAAGTTATTTAGTTCATTTGTAAAAACTTCAACACTAAATAAGCTGAAGTTTTTTTGTCCTGGATTCATTAGTTTTGTCATAAAGCTTTTTCAAAGACTTCGGCAGAAGATGCTGAAGTTATTTAGTTCATTTATAAAAACTTCAGCACCAAATAAGCTGAAGTTTTTTTTGTCCTGGATTCATTAGTTTTGTCATAAAGCTTTTTCAAAAACATCAGCAGAAGATGCTGAAGTTATTTAGTTCATTTGTAAAAACTTCAGCACTATATAAGCTGAAGTTTTTGAAAAAGCTTTCTAACATACTAGATAAATAATCACCTTATTCTTTCATAGTGTATTACTACTATAAAATAATCAAATTGCCAACAGTATCTAAATCATAAATTTTGGAAACAATAAACGTAAAAAAACAGAATTATCATGAAAAGAATCACTAAGTGTGACCTTAAACTTCCCATACGTGGAAATATTCACAAATTACTGTCTACTAACTTACGTAAGTATTTATAATTTATTTTTAAATAATCTGATAAACATAATTATGGCAATCATCCCATGAACTGAAGTTTCATAGCAGAACCAACAGCAGAAGAAGAAGAAGAAGAAAACGAAGGAGGAGAAGGAGGAGGAAAAAGAGGGCTGAAGTTATTTAAAAAGTGGTTACAAGTTAAAACTTTTTAAAAGAAAGGGTAACCAGAAAAAAGCTTGGTTAGTTGGCGGCCTAGACCGAGTATAGTCCAGGCCCATTAATTCTCAGCCCATATTGGCCCAAAATTCGGAGGATGGAGGACTATATATAAGCCAGCTCACGAATTTAGTGCTCATTTGCTGAACTCACACAGAAACGCATATTCATTCTCCATTAGAGCAGTGATGAGTCGAGGAGGATTCAACGATTCGAGATCACTTTCAAATACTACAAGCTTATCGACTTCATGTATTTTCTCATTTTCTCGAACTCACTCTTTTACAATATATGTGTAAAAAGGATCAGCAATTTGTTTTGCTTAAATATAGCAATTCGTATAGTTCTATAAATTTGATGTGATAAGTCTGAAGAATGATAACTGACTTTTTTTATTTACGACGACTTTTAGTTTTTTCTCTCTGTCTGTTTGAATTTTGAATGAAATACGTCTGTAATTTACGTAGTTCTGAATTTCGGGATTTGATTTAACATACTTGAAGTAGAATTCTGAGTACTAACTCTATTTTCAAGTAATTTTTTTTTTTGATAAGGTATTTTCAAGTAATTTTCTTGTCAATTTTATTAGAATAATCTAAAATACATCTCAAAACGTGAATGTTATACTTCCAGTTATAAAAGTTCAAAAACTGGCATATTATTCTACGTATCTAATAAATTTGATTAATATTTGGTTCGAAAAGTGGTGGATCAGCTTTAATTTTTAAATCTTGAATGATTTGTAAGGTTATATTCACTTTGTACATGACAATTTTGAACTTGTGATATGCAGATTTTAGAGGCTTGATAAATATCGCAAACTACAGTGTTTTAGGCATTATTTGATGCATGTATAATTATTAACTGCCATAAGTTGCATTTTAGAAGTTTTTGTCTTAGTATATGTTAGGATGTTGTTGTATTGAACACTAACATCGATGTTTGGTGCTTAATTGTTTAGCGGAAAAATATTTTAACAGTTATAAACAAATTGCTTGAATATCTTCATTTGCTTATTCTTATCTTTGAATGATTAAGATCTATAGTTCTCATGTCCTGAAGAAAACTTTATTTTCTTTCTTGCTCGTTCCACGTAAAACAATATTTATACTTCAACTATCTATGATGTTAAGGAGAATATGTATTTCACAAATAAGTTCTTACAAGTTTTTTGCAGTTCTTATCCCCAGGGAACGATATTTGCAGATTTTTTTGATAACTAATATTTCCAGATTTTTCAATTGTTCTAGATTGTTGTTTTAACTGTAAGGATCAGTGGCACTGCAATTCGAAAGTAAATGTCTTACATTACCATCGACCATCAACTCTTGCAGGTTGCAATGGCGTTTGTGTGATGAGTAGCACATGGAGGGATGCACAGAACCCGTCCTTTCTCAATTTCATCTCTCGCTTTCTCAATGAAAGTTCTTTCCGTTTAAATATTCTTCCAATTGCACCAGTAACTACTCTTTTCAGCTGGTGGTCTTCTTATAAATTCTTTTTTCAGCTGTGGTGGTCTTCGTATAAATTCTTTCTTTTGCAAATGGCAGTAATAACATTTCCTATTCACAGGATTTTATCTTTATCTTTGGTGGTTTGTCAGTTGCTTTCATGTTTGTGACCAATTGGGATGTCATCGACAAGGAATCTGTCTTTAGAAAGTAAACGTGCTCTGTATCTCTCAAAATCCAATTTTGTACTTTATCAAAAATTGATAAGTTTGTGACTTGATGTAGAGCTGAGAAAGTGAAGGAGCAGTTTGCAAGCTTCTATGTGGTTATCACCCTCCCTTCAAAGGAACAGAATGATTCTTTCATACGCTTCTATTTCAAGTGAGTCAAATTTAACTTCGCCTTCTATCTGTAATCTCTATATCAAGGCGTTGCATTTGAAGGTATGGAGGGCAACCTGGAGGGCCAACATTTGTTCCTGTGCGAGACTTTGAGATGGGCTTTGAAAAAATTGTGAAGATAGCACATTCTCGTGGGGGTAAGATGTCAATGCTCCCAAGCTGAACAAAAGAAACTTAATTGTATATTTACTGCCATAAGTATCTGTTGCAGTGTGCAAACGACAGGATGTATTGGCAAAATTAAAAGCTGAGGTAAAGGGTGGATAGTTTTCCAGTCTTCTGACTGATAGCCAAGTGTTTTCTTGTGAACCTGAGACATTTTGCCTTGCTGTTAGAAGGAAAAATCAGTACAGGCAATGGAGATTTACCAACAAGTTGTTGCATCAATCCCTGGAGTTGACAGCCATGATGCAAATGTGGTATTTTATTTAATGTTTTTCCCATTTATGTTCCATCGGATGTCTTGTACCATGATAAACCTTATTATAGCGAATCCTTTTCTCGATTACCTGTAAGTTTGTGCAGAATCATAGTATCACCTTTTCTCTCAATCTATGATTCATATGTTGAACCATATTAATTTGGCAATTTCAGAGTTTTCTTCCATATGTTTGTGGACTGTAAGGTCAGTTTTTAGGTCAACAATATCAAATATATGTCATTTTAGTTATTTGTCATTTATTTTTTTATGAAAAGCCTGAGCCAAATCGAGGATTGTATCCGTACCATCCAGGCGTGAAACATGCAACAGGTATTACTTGACTAATGAGTTTTGAGTTATGACAACCTTTGAACAAAACCACAATTGGGTCAAATAAATAAAGTATTTAGTTTTTGAAATACCTTTTATCCTGTCTGTCTTACAAATTCTGATGCAAAAGCCTGAAGTAATTGATGTTGCTGCATTTTCACAATGATGCTGATACATGAATGAACACATCCCACTATCTTTCTTGTCACTTCTATATTGCATATGTATACTATGACATACCAAAATTATGGCACCTTTTCTTTTTTATAATATGTGCTTTAAAGAATGATAGTGTCGCATTATCAATGACACATATTTATCTGTCCAGATAGTTGTAGTCACTCTTTTCTCTTCTTTTGTCTGTTTCAGCTTTATCAAACTATTGGTTCAATTGAAGCAATAGCTAAGTCATCAAAGGAATACATTCTGGAAACTACTGATCTCTCACCCACGACAGCTGAGACAATCACAAGGTTTTTCAGGGATCCAAAGTTTTATCTTGGTCCCAAAATTGGCTGAGTTGTACTTTTAATTCTAGAGAATTCAGAGTCATGCACCCTGCAGAAGTGACTTTAGATATCTCAAAAACAGGTGGAAGTCGAATGAATAAAATCAGAAGGCTCTTCTGAACTTTCTTCTCTTACTTACGGAAATATGATCATATATTTGTGTTAAGTTGCTCTAAGTTTACGGAAGTACTTTAAAGAAGATCAGAATTGCATCTGTATGTTGATGTTTGGTTTCTTCTGTTTCTTGTCTGAATTTCTGGTCCTTCATATGGCTAAATCCCACGAAGAACCTGGTTTTAGCTACAGGTCTCAAGCATTTATGATTAAGTTTCCCATGATACTGAATGATCATCTGCAAAGGATAAGTGCTGAACTTTTGGCTCTCTTCTTTTGAAGGGGTAAAATTCTGAAAATCGAGGTGAATTCCTTTATCGAGAGTCGCCTCCACAATTCGTATTGATAGTTTAACAATTTTAATCAGTGCAAGACTTGAAGAATGATAGAAAGGAGTCATTGCTTACTTTCCAGCATGTGTTTAAAGAACAATTGTATTTGGATTAGATGTTTGTCTGAAAGAGAAAAGTAAAATTGCAATTACGCTTTCATCACTCAAAAATAGAAAGTTACTAGGAAAGAGTATGTGAATATTTTTCAGACTGACCAGAACATAAAGCACGTTAAATAAAATTATACACGTAGTTAATTCTCCGTTCCAGTCAGGTATAGTAAGGAAATATAGTAAAATATAATAAAACAAGGAAGTGGTAACCTTTGAAAAATTCATTTCTCCAAACAAAAAAGTTATTGGTCTTAAACAAGAACTGTATTCAGTACTTCCTCCGGTTCACAATAAGCCAATTTGCTTTTAGCACGCCCATTAAGAAAATACTAAATTCTATACAAAAATACCTACTATGACTAAACTACCCCTAATTAAATATATAATGTAGGAGTAAGAAAACTTTTTAGGGATATGTACATAGGGGTTATTTTGTAAAAACAAATTGAATTCTTTCTTGATTACATAACTGGACACTTATTTTGAACCAAAATGAAAAAGCAAATTGGACACTTATTGTGAACCGAAGGGAGTATAAAGTTGGCCCTCAGAGCCAATTACCTAAAGAGCTCCATAAGAAAGTCCCCGCGACAAGATATGAAGCAAAAGAATGCAAGGATACGTAATAATCAACAAAAGACACACACGCACGCGCGCACACAAAAAAAAACACAATGCCTTAAATATTAATTGCATTGACATACATTAGCAACCTGCTTAACTAACAGGTATATCTCTACAGGATATGTCTATCATGGACCATAATACAGCTTTACTATATATCAGTGTTATTCCTAAATAAGCAACCTATGAACTCTCTAATAGAGGTGAAGAGCCATGTTACAAAGTGAACAACACTATCAGTTGCTGAAAATTACATAATAATCATGTAACTCTATAACTGCTACCAGGAGCAGGAGATGACTGAATGAAACGCGGAATTATGAATTATGAAGGAGCACCAAGATACGAGGCAAGTCGCAATATATCACTGAATATTCCACCGGCTGTCACTTCAGCCCCAGCCCCTGGACCGCGCACTATTAGAGGTTGCTTACAATATCTTTCAGTAGTGAATGCAATTATGTTGTCCGATCCAGAGAGTTGCGCAAATGGATGTTCCTTATTGTATCTTCGCAATTCAACAGTGCCTTTGCCATTGACAACATCCACTGCTCCAACATACCTCAAGACCTTCATGTATATCAACAGTTTGAAGATGGATAAGCATAAATACAAGTACGGAAATATAAGCATTACACATGTTCTGCAGCTAAACTGGATCGAGACAACATAGAATTGATGCTTGTGACCTACTCCAACAGAAATGAAGCACACTTCATAAATCAAAAGTTCTCTTAGCATGCTTCGCAAAGACTTCAAAGAATCTATTTTTGGGAAGTAAGCGTATTTTGTAATGGAGCATTGCCATGCATTAAGATAGTGCTTGACATTACTAGTAGAGAAGTCCCCAGATACAAAAATATTTTGTTGCGTTGAGTATCTATCAGTTTATCACATAGAGTTCGATCTAGAAAGACTTAAACTCTCTCAAATGCACACAAACAGAGCAGTCGGTTATTTGGCAAACAAGAATAAAAAAGATTGAAATCATATCAGCGGTCAATAATTAAAATGTTTTACCCTAAATGGGTAATCTGGTTCATAACCAATCACTAAACAAATCAGTGATGTTCCCATACATGATTTAATTGAGCAAAATGAACAACTCTTCCACACTGGGATACTAAGGGCTGTGGTTCCTATATATTATATTACTCCCATGCAAAATTAAATGTTTCAGGTTACATGGCAAAGGTACTAAGATGATGCTTGAAATATTATTGTTTGACATGAAATGGGGCAATATGTAGAACGTAAAAAGTTACATTTGGTTGCTCAAAATATTGAGAAAAGTTCCAGGCGAATTGTAAAAGTGGACATTACACTCTTATATAAGCGAAAGCTTGCATCAATCAACTATGCATCGACCCAAACTAATTTTAAAACTTGCATGCTTAGGAAAATTAAATTAAACCTCAACGGTCTAAAAAGGTATAGAAAACATCAACTTCGATGGAGGGAGTATAGCAGGGTTCATTCAGACAACATTACTATCACAACACTGAAGCTTAATTTTATAAATTCGGAATACTCACTTCCCCCGCATCTTCGGCCTCTTGCTTCTGTTTAGACAACTCTTGATCAAATTGTGGCAGCTGCAGCAAAAAGTCCTCGGCAGATGCAGTAGCCTGAGAAAACCACCAAATATCAGTTCACAGAGAACAAAATGCCCTTCCAACTAATGTTGCATGTATAAGCTAAACACTCACCCTTAATGGTTCTGGGACAAGGCTCTGAACCGGGATATCTGAAAGCTCTAGCTCTAATCCACTTTCTCTAGCAAGAACTATCACCTGGATCAGGAAGTTATTGCTTATTAAAAAGTCATTAAGCCGTGATTTGTGTAGCATCAGTTCCCAGGATGTTGGTTTTCTTGTGGATCTATTTAAGAGAGCAAATTGGCAGGGGAACCAGCAAACTCAAAATAAAATGTCTTTATTTCTATGATGAAAGGTAAATCTGCACAAGTTAGCAAACACATCAAGGTGGGACCAGGATAGAAGTATATTGACAGATGCTGTTTTGCAACACTAAGTCATAGTAGGGGTGGCAAATGGGCTGTTTGGGCTATATTTGGGCAGGTCAAGATGGGCTGACTCAATAAATGGGTCATTGCCCAACCCTGCCCAAAGTTTACTTGGGTTAAGATGGGCTAAACAATGAGTTGTAACTCAATCCCCTCAACTTTGCAATATTCTCAATTTTTAAACAAGCATATATAAAATATTCTCATATATATATATATATATAACAATGATTTTTATTTTCATTTTTCGTAAATATCATTTTGGAATGGTTTATGATGATAAAAAAGTTTCCCTTTTTTCCTGTTGTCTCTTGTCTTATGTTTTGGAATAAATGTCAGTTCATAAAAAATTATGGGGAGAGTAGCATACAAAATTTATTTTCCTAAAAAATATTTTCGACTCTCTAACCAAACACTAGAAAATATTTTCCCGAAAAAGTTTTCCAATCACCAACCAAATATAAGAAAATAAGTAAGAAAATCACTCATTTTCTAGGTAAATATTTTCCAAGAAATCTCCTTCATATCAAACACACCCTTATTAGAAGCTCTAAAGGGCAATTGCTATTCAGGGGTCAGTTTGAACTGAAATCATGGGCTGATTTAGGCTACTGACAATAAATGGGTTTAATTGCGTTGTGCCCAAACTTAGCCCATCGTTAGTAGCTCATATCCAACCCATTAAAACCTGGGCGGGTTGGGTGGGTCAAATGGGCTTGGGCCACTTTTGCCACCCCTAAGTCATAGTTGGAATTTAAACCACTACTGGCGCTTCCAAAATATTATTTTCAGCTTCATGCAAACACTAAATCAAAGCAGTCAACAAATTGAAACTGAAGAATGAGATCTCGTGTTGGGTTAGCACTTATAACAATGAACGAAACTTATCAGAAAATACCTTTCTGGCAACATCTGTCCCGGCTAGGTCATCCCTTGGATCTGGTTCAGTATAACCTGCCTCTTTCGCCTCCTTCACCACTTGGCTAAAAGCTTTTGTCCCCATGAAGTTATTGAATATGTAACTCAGAGTTCCACTGCCAAAAAAAGAAAAATAAAGGAATACATGTATGAAATGAATGCAAAGAAATAGAAATACAGAGAGAAATGAAAAATAAAGGAATACATGTATGAAATGAATGCAAAGAAATCGAAATACAGAGAAATTTTGCATTCGTTGGTGCATGTGGTAGCGAAGACAAGGATAGCGTCATTTCACCAATCTGCTACTTAGGATAGATGAAATTCATCCAAATACCAGAAAATGTATAATCTCAAACCTTCATATCAGTGATACCAACCTAAAAATACCCTCAATCCGCAAAATCTTGTCCCCGGTTTCGAGAAGACCACGTAAAGTGCTAATGATTGGTAGACCAGCTCCAACAGTAGCTTCATAGAAGTAATGAGTATATGATTGTCGCTGTAGAGCTCTCATCTTCAAGTACTGGAAACAATTGAAGGAAAATATGCAATAAAAAGGTATGAGAAGCTTCCTTTACCAGCTATCTATATAATTATCGATGCCTTGGTTGTCTTGTTTTGAGGTATTTTCTAAATAGAGATAGAACAACAGTTTTTAAAAAGACTTATTTTCCCCATCTTTGATGAAGTGGAAAGATAGTGGAAAGCAAAATATAATTAGGAAATGGGGAAATTTTCATTATTGACTTAGTCGATCAAAGTGCTTTTTTCAGAAAGTTCACGAGTGTTAACTGTTAAGCACTTTTAAGAAGAAAAGAAAATCAAACGTGAAAGTAATTAGTAACCTGGTCAAGCGGTCCTGAATTAGCCTTTTTATTTGGGGTGACCACATGGATGCCTCTGTGCAACCAGTCATAGTATTGGCTTGCGATATGAGAGTCTGCAGTGCAATCCACCAAAACACTGTTTGGGATGAAATGATTTTCACCCACATGCTGAACAAACTTATTCAAGTCGGGCATTTCTCTGTTTTGACTTAGTAGCTCTTTCCATCTTGACAAATCAATACCCCTATGAACATTAACAAG